CCTTTGAAAGGTGTGTCTGGACATGGGCAGAAATCCAGTCTTGCTGAGCTTGCCCAGTTCTGCCCTTTAGGGGGGCTGGACTAGGGTAGGAGAAAGAAGTACATAGAAAATACAGCAAGATGTAGTCTCCTCCATGCATTTAAAAAAGGACACAGGACATGTGGTTGAACTAATTACCAAAGCAGAGGGCTCTGACCTCATCCAGCTGCATAGACATGAGGAAACTAGGAATCTTTCAGGATGAGCTCAAGCAAATCATTATTTGCCCCGTGGGCGGGTGAGCATCAGATCATCTATCCCATTTGCCACCATAATCCCACCACTGATTGGCAGCATGTATGGATTTTGTAGCCAACCCTGTGCCTTTACACAGAGCAGGTACCAGCAGTCCAAAGCCCACTGGCACCTACAGTCAACAATATAGACATGCATGGTGAGTGTGCACATGTCCTTACACAGAGAGGTCAGGGGGCATGGACAAGTGCCTCTGGGGTTAAAGAGCTTTTAGGACAAACCCCTTTGCTGGGGAAGGACAAGACTTTGCATAACACAAATTCCATAGCCTGCCCCGTGGGGTGTGCAGCCATCCTGTAAGTGTTCACTGCACAGAGTAACAACTGCACACACCCACACCTGCAGTGTGCCTGTGACCTGTTTATTACTCCATACAGCTGCACAGGTCTGGCAGACACGGTGGCAGCAGAGCTTCACCACCAAACTCGCTTGCTGAAGGGGTTTTAGTTTTACTCTGGAAGTTAATCAATGCAGAACTAACTGCACCATCAATATTGATCAGGCTGCCAAGGCTTTGGCATTACAGCACTGCAATATCCTGTTACTTCCAGGCTGCTTTACATTAATTAGCCTGTGTGCATATTAATGACTGAACCTCCATGGCTTGGTAGGTTCACAGGGGGAGCCCAGCAGTGCACAGCAATAAGGGCCTAAGCAAATAAATCTCATAGGAATTATTTTTTCTTAGATACAAAAAAATGGAGCAATATAACTCACAGGTCAGCATTTCCTGCCACAGCCCAACAGCATTTTTGGCAGCTTTAAAGATGATACAGGCTGTCCATTTGTGAAAGCTTGCTTGACCCAGGGGGCCATTAGCAAGATCTATAAGCAGACTAACCCCTCCTTCTGACTGAAAGTAAGTGCATTTAATGCCCTGGGTTGACCTGTCATACTGAATCTCTGATATCTTCTAATGCTGTGAAAAAATTCACTCACATCACACTCTCACCACTTTCTGGCTAATAAATGTCTCTTTGCTTGTGCTGCTGGTGTGACCCGATGTGGCCAGCTGAGACCTACCCTTGTGTGTGTGAAGGGGGCCTGAGGATAAAATAAAACTGGTTTCACCTTTTTGTGTCATTTGCTCCCTGAGAACAGAGAGAAATGCTCATGCCTGCCATTTTCAGTGCAGTCACCCTTCAGGGTAAAACAGAGCTCATCTTCAGGACTGCATTTATATTGTGAGTGCTCTGAAGTAGATTAACAAGAGATTGTTACATGTGGCTTTGGAAAGATCAAGGTAGATTTTGTGATGCTTGGTGGCAGCTTAAATTCCTACAAAGAACCTTCTGAGTCTACAAGTAGCTGGACTAACACAATTTACACACCCTTGGGGTTAGGCAGATCCTCTTTATTGTGTAAACACCCATCAAGTGCTTTGTGGATCATTTCCTCAAATGTCAGTACCTAAATGTTGTGTAATCCCCTTTTAAGCATCTAAGGAGACAAGCAGATTTTAGGCTAGATTTTTTCATTATTTTAGGCTTGTCCCTTATCTAACATGCACCTCGGGTAATTTCCACTCTGAAGATAGGGAGGTGAGAGCAAGTTCAGTAAAGTTAAGCCTCTTCATCCTCTCAGCATGTGGCCCTGGTGGCGGATGAAGCTGCTCACAGTTGGGGTTCACAGTGTCTGGGAGGAGCCAGGTTGGCAAAGCTGCTCTAGGCAGGTCCTGAACTTCCTGTGCCAGCCCATGGAATGAGGTCCTGGGTTCTCACTGAGCCTAAGGCTGTTTGCAGAGGGCTGTGATACACTGGGGTCTTAGTGAGGACAGAGGATTGCATCTACCCACATTTTTAGTCTAGCTTCCCCCAGGAACACACACACTGCTCCCACTGAGGCTGCACTGAATGGAATTGTGAGTCACACAGAAGGTTAAGGATTTATCTAACAGGAAAGCTACTGCAGAATTAAAAGTCTAGGGTGGCTGTGATTGATGTGTTTTAACAATTACTATGTCTTGTCAAGCTTCCTGTGCGGCGCCATTCCTATAATTAACGGGCAAGGACTTTTTAATTCTCCTCAGTGCAGCTCAAGTGGTGCCAAGACACTCAAAGTGTCCATAAAATATCTCCAAAGGAGCTGGAACAGGGCTGCCAGGGCCAGCTCTAATGTTGAAGCCATCTCAGTGTTGAAGCCTGATATCATGTGTAATGCCCCAGCACTGATGCACCACCCACTGCTGAGCCCACAGAGAGCCCCTCAGGGCATCACAGTTGGTTAGAGATTCAGATCTGACCCCTGCTGGGGTGGCACATGGGTGACATGGTCACCTTTCACCAGACACTAATCCCCACAGGTGTGCCCAGCACCCCATTTACGTGCCTTACTGCCATGTAGGATAACACTTCCTTCATGGCACACAAATGGTGTCATCTCTTCAGGACCTGTCCCACTTTATACATGTCCTCCCACCATAATGAAGGAACAAGGGGGTTCAGGAGTGGGAGTGACAACAGACCTGTGGCTGCTCTATTCGGTATGAAGGTCAGATGAACATTTCTGACTCTTTGGCAGGGCCCTGGTTTTAAAATCCAGTTTTCAAGCCCAGCATGTTTGTTTTGTAATATGCTCCAGACATCAGTTCTTAAATGTGGATGAGTCACTTGCTGTCTTTTTGCAGGCAACAGTGACACAGCTCTGGGCACGACTGGCAAGCAAACATCTTTAATATTTTCAAGCTGTGTGGCTTCTGAGAGACGTTTACTTTCCTGCACCTCTGTCATCTTTTGATGTTAATAGCTGTGTCAGAGTGATTGCATGGAGGCAATACTGGGATATGAAAGGGAATCCATGGTGCAGTGTAAGATATGCTCTTCTCACCGTGTGAGAGAGACAATTCTGTGGTACTTCGCGCTGAAGGATTTCATTCTTTAGTTCTCTAAGCCAGCCAGAGGCACCTGAACTACAAATATTCTAGAAGTAGGTGTCTAATGTCACTGCAGTAGAATCACTTTGAAAAATCAGATTTGCATAATACTAAGCAGCATTACCATTGACAGTGAGTGTTGCAGTATTCTGCACACCATAACTGGGTCCCAGATTTTTATATGTAGAATCACTGAATGGTTTGGGTTGGAAGGAACCTTAAAGACCATCTCATTCCACCCCCTGCCACGGGCAGGGACACCTTCCACTAGCCCAGGTTGCTCCCATCCCCGTCCAACTTGGCCTTGGTCACTTCCAGGGATGGGGCTTCTTTGGGCAACCTGTGCCAGGGCCTCACCACCCTGGGCTCAAGAAAAGAAGAATTCCTTTCCAATATCTAATCTAAACCTACTCTCTTCCAGCTTGAAGCCTTTCCCCCTTGTCCTGTCACTCCAGGTCCTTGTAAATATTCTCTCTCCATCTTTCTTGTAGGCTCCCTTCAGGTACTGGAAAGCCACAGTTAGGTCTTCTCTTTTCCAGGCTTAACAATCCCAGCTCTCTCAGCTTCTCCTCACAATGGAGCTGCTCCATGGCTCTGATCACCTTGCTGTGTCCTCTGGACTCTCTACAACAGCTCCATGTCCTTCCTGTGCTGAGCCCCCAGAGCTGGAGGCAGCTCTGCAGGGGAGGTCTCATCTGAGTGGGGCAAAGGGGCAGAATCCCTTCCCTTGGCCTGACAGTCATCCTGCTTTGGATGCAGCCCAGGATACAGTTGGCTTTCTATATAAATGCTTGCACACACACCTGCAAAGGCAGAGCAGTGTCAGTGGATCCTCTAGGGAGGAATGGAGGCCACAGGGAGGAGAAACAACCCAGGAGAGGAGTGAATGCAGCATCCCCATATCGAGAGCTAATGGAAAATGAATGTATATGCTATCAATATTGATTACATACTCTGCTGGTTTAGGCTGTTCAAGGTCAGTAAAATGGGATAAAGCCCTTGTTTTGTTACAGCCATGCCATGCAGTCTCTGTCTGTTCAGCTTTGGTGTGGCCAAGCAGCCACTCCAGCATCTGTGAGCCTCATACAGGTTCTGATGTGATTCCAGCCACCACATGAAGCCCTTCATAGATATGATTTATTAATGCAGTGTTTGGAGTCCTCTGCTTGTCCTATATTTCCAGGGTATTTTATTTGCTTCATGCAGATTAAACTATGTGGGATATCGAAACATTGATCAGCTCTTCACTCGTTTCTCCTTCAGAGATGTAAAGGAACAAACCAGAGGACTCCAGTGTACATTTACACACCAAAGCCCATCTTCTGATAAAAGTGATACTTCTGCATATTTACAGGAACAACAAAACTCTTGGCACTGTCTCAAAAAATTTTCTGTGCCAACAACCAGCTCCTTGTATCCAAACAATCAAATAACAGCAAAACTGAGGAACCTGCTCATTCTTCAGGACCCAAATGAGGATAATGGCTCAGCTCCTTCCTTAATACTTGTCTTACATGAGATCCATGAAACTGCTGCTAGGGGAGAATTGGAAAAGGAAGAATAATTGTACATGGTTTATTTTACCCAGCTGTTGACACAAGTGATTGTTGAAACACATCAAACGAGTGAGAAGAAGGGGAAATAAAGGCGATCCTAAAACGTATCAAAACTGCCTGAAAATAATTCCATAATGGATCTTCACGTATGAAATTTGGGAAGTGCATTTTGGGTTCTGTGTTCTTCCCCTTATGTAAGATGATTGGAAAACTTCAGCTGGATCCCCTCCTGTGATGTGCAATGACCCAAGCACCGAGCAGAAAGAAACTGCACAAGATTAAGCCTTAGAAGCCTAATGCAAAATGTGATTTCTTTTTAATGACAGGATGTAATTAATATACAGCATAACTCAGGTTTATTGCTATAAAAGCCCAATAGTTTTGACCAACTGCTTTTGTGTGCATAGAAACCAGACTTCCAAAGACAATAGGTTCACAGAAATTATACGTGGACTCTGAGAGAAATAAACTGTTCAAGCAGTAAATGCCCCACAATTGTAATTTCCTTGTTAACACACTCTGCTGCGTGTTTTGTCTTGCTCATTTCATTGGCAGCAGGAGGATAAAATAAACTTTTACTTCCAAATTTGTGAAGCTCTTGGCCACCTCTGGTTCTCAATTCCCATTGTCGTGTGGTGTTCAAACAGTAACCCCTAATGTGCAATTTCCAGCTCCACCCACACCTGGTCCTCCAAACATACTTCATGCCAAGGGTTTATTCTCCCCCTGGACAAGCAAAATCAAGGGTGTCAATAGTATAATTTGTATATTAGTTATGAAATAGCCAAATTTCACTTTGCAGACATCTCAGCATTCCTGTTGCACTCGAGGGTTCATACAAGGAAAAATCTTTTAAGGATCTGGTGAGGTGCCTGATTCAGCCTTCTGAAAACACAGTGAATCTGTGGAATGTATACCCTACTAGTGCAGTCCAGCCTCTTTAAAACAATTCCAGCAAGAGCCTCTCCTCTCCTCTGAAAGTTTTTTCTCTGCTCTTTCAGCTCTCCATACTGGAATTGTTACCTTCAGATATTCTGTTCTTGTCTTCCAAGGCATGCAGTCCCCTGCAGAAAGCACCTGCATCAAAGGCAGCATTGGTAAATGTAATCTTGTGTTCAAAGCAGGAAATTGGAGACATACTGCAGCTCTTGGTTCATTCTGATAGATGCAAGAGCCTTGGAAAACCTGCTGTGTATGACCGCTGATGAAAAATGAATTAACCAATCAGCTTGCACAGGGGAAAATGCAAGTACTCAAAAGAAAAACAAACACTCAATTAAAATCTAAAAATAATCAAATGGTAAAGGTTCCTGTAAGAATTAAAGCCTTGTTCTGGATTTTTGCCAGAGGCATTGTGAGAACCACTTCATGATGAGTATGAAACAACTGTATCCTTCTGTGTGTTTAAGTTACCACTGTAACTCCAGTGGATGAACGTTTTGGGAGCTCTCGGATTAGTCATCAAATAAAAAAAAGGTACATCTAAATGTACTTGCATAGCACATTTGCATAAAGGAACAGTTCCCTCCCCAAAGCTTAAGCTTTTTCCTCTTGTCTAGCCTTCAAAAGTGAATCAAGGATTCTCTTTCATAAGTAGCACCTTTTTATTGTCAGTAAAACAGGACTGGTAGCAAAAGAAAAGTCTAAATAGACCACATGAGGCCATTGGTGGTTCATGCTTTGAGATATGAATTCTTTTATTAGAGCTTTTCTGTGATGTTTTAAGACTTGCTGCAGGTTCTTAAAAATGAATAGGAATTGTTCTATTCTGAACTGTCAGCAGTTCGGAAACTTAAAACATCCAGGACATGTCTCAAGAAATCCAGTTGTTCTCTTTGATCCTAGATTAAAGGGCCTGTTAGAAATTTCAGAGCTATGTAGTTTCTTACACAGTTCCAATTAACACGACACTTGAGCTTTATTCTGTGAATGTACAATAATGTAGAAAAGTCCTTGGAATTCCCTCATCAGCTAAATTCTATTTAAAAATACATGTATTGGTTTTATATCAACATCCTCAGCCACATTCAATACTCCATTTATACCCTTAGGTTTAATTCACAGAACTTCAGCTTCACAGATTCTTAGCAATAAATCCCAAAATGCATGCATGGCTTGGTTTAAGAAAGATATTTTACTTGTGTTTCATACACAAAAGAACTGATAATCAACAGTGGCTTAAAAAAATTAACACTACTGCACTTTTTCACAAGTGTACAAAAAAGAAATAATGAATTTACATTCAACGGTAAAGCTTAAAGTTCACTCTAATAATAGTTGCATTGACATTCACATACACAAGCACAGAATAAATATTTCAGGATTCTTATAAGAGCATACAGCATACATACAGTACTTGAATTTTACATAGGGAGTGTTAGTAGGGTCAGAAATTCATAATCTCATAGAAAAGTTAAACTAAAATCAGAAAAGGTTGTGTGGGAGGTAACACCAAGGTACTGCACAGAGCTAGCAGGTTAATAAATCCATTTGTGTGAGGAGTTTGCTTCTGCTTCTTCATATTAGGACAGTTTGTTTGCAAAGGTGTATTCAAAGTGCAGATTAATGAAAAAAAAAAAAAGAGAAGATATTCTTGTATTTATTAATACATGCAAGAGGCAGCCCCCAAGTCACCCGACAGAATAAAGCTGTTATTGGCAAGTGGCCGATATAATACAGATGTTTCAGGCAATTTTTCTAAAGCACTTTAATAGCAGCAATTGTAATTTATAATGGCTCTAGATTGACTTCTGTTTGGGTTAAAGGGCATCATATTTCTTTAACATTTACAGCTATATTTCTTTATAAATAAATATCTCAAATAACAAATAGCATAGTTAACGTTTCTTTTTTTCTCTCTTTTGCATAAGTGTCGTGGAAAAACTCTGACCTTTTCAGAGACAAAATGTGCAAAATAATGTTAGAGTGGAAATAGGGACACAGAGCATCACAGTTACATTCCTGGGATGTCAGCCCAGCCCTTCTTACACTCTGAGGGCTGGTCTCGCCAGGGTAATGCAGGGTTTTAAGGGACCATTTTCCCAATGGCTTGCTTGGTAAATAGATATAATTAATGGTACCTTAAAGAGGCTGTAAATGTGAGGTTTCATTTGAAGCAGTGTGTACAATACGTCATGTATAGGACTCAGTATTTCCACACAGTGACTTCTCAAGATTTGACAAGTCTGCTCATCTCCTTTCAGATATTTTCTCCCCAGCCTGAACATCTTTGAATGTTTGTGTTCATTAGGTGTTTCCTCTGTTGCATATTTACCAGCTCTTCTTGCATTTTATAATCTGGTCTCATATCGCCTAACTGACATCTGCACACAAATATTTCCAATCAGATAGAGGGTGCACAACATTAAAACTTTTAAACCTGTCCTGTAAGTGTCATCAAGACAGGAGCACAGGAACCACAGTGCAGAGTCCAACCTCTCACTGGCTGTACTGTGAAGATTCTCCTTTTCGGCGTAGGAGAAAGGAAACTTGTGTCTGCTTTTTAGATTCTGAAAACAAGCCAGAGTGGAGAAAAAGAGTTAACACCAGACTTAATAAAGCTTTTAAGACAAAACCTGTTAAGCAATTTAGACAGACACTGAATTTCCTGCTGATTTTCTCAAGTCTGTACATACAGGAAATTTTTTAACAGTAGGAAGAAGTTGGGAGTTGCTACATAGGAGAAATCTGCCATTATTACAAAAACTGGCTAAGTGGGTTCTTTCAGTATAACCCCCTCACTGGTCACTGTTCTCAGTGGTGCTGTTGCCCTTTTCTTTTTTCTCCTGAGTCTTGTTTCCCTTCTTCTTTTTCTTCTTTTTCTTGGTCTCTTCCTTCTTGCCAAAGGTTATGAAGTCACTTTTGTCAATTTGGCTGTTTGGTGGCTCCTGCCGGATGGAGATGATTGCAGGAGATCCTGGGATAATGAATTTGTCTGGCAACTCACCAGGACCACCTTGTTTGGAATTGCCCGGTCCAAATTTAAAGGTCCAGCTGTTGCTGTTCACACCAGCTCCCACTGGGGGGGACACCTCTCCCGCCTCAGGTTCTGAAAAAGTCAAAACAGCAAGAAAAGCTTAAAGCATCATTAAATACAAGCCCTCTGTGAGCATCACCTTCCCCTTTGAAGGCTCTGGTGATGCTCAGCCTGCAGTGACTCCTGGTTGCCTGGCTGCTCATCTAGGGTTTGCCTACTGGTTCTTGGTCAGGCTGCTCAGTGTTGGCACACACTGACTCACTCCGTGCACTGCTGGGCCCAACAGGCTTTGGATGTCTTGTTTGTGCCTTGAAACACAGTTGTTCTTTATTTTTCTTTTGAATTTGAAGTATGTGAAATAAGAAATGGCTGTGATGCAGCCCAGTGTAATGTTTTAAGGCAGGGAACACAAGCACATGCATTGCATGGTAAAAGGGTGTCAAGACTTTTGGGACAGGGTTAGAAGAGTGTCCAGGGCAGCCTTGGCATTAGGCACATCCATGTGGGATATTTTAGCAAACCATCCTCTCAGCTGTGTCCAGGATTCCTCATGGAGGAAAGGAGTGTCTGAAGGGACGGCGTCAGAGGATGGACCCAGGCTTTGCTTGGTGGTGCCGAGCAACAGGACAAGAGGTAACAGAAACTGATGCACAAGAAGTTCCTCCGGAACATGAGGAAGAACTTCTTTACCTTGTGAGATTGCCCAGAGAGGGTGTGAAGTCTCCCTCCCTGGTGATATTCTGGATGCAATCCTGTGCCATGTGCTCTGGGATGACCCTGCTTGAGCAGGGAGGTGGGACCAGGTGACCCACTGTGGTCCCTTCCAACCTGACCCATTTTGTGATTCCGAGCTGATGCATCCCTGAGAGGAACCTGAGGCCAAGTAGCCTGTGTTTGTGTGTTTGTTTGTGTGTTGGTGTGTTTGTGTTTGTGTGTTTGTGTGTGTCCAGTGTGGCTGAGCAGCAGACAAGGCCCTAGAGAGCAAAACCAGGAGTGAACTGAACTGCTTGGGCAGAGATAGTGCAGGACTCCTTCCATCAGGGTGCACAAATAGGTCTCAGAAATAACCATGGTCTTCTTAGAATATCCTGATATTTTTCACAGATCACAGCATTTTAGAGAGTCAAATATAAAGTTCTGTCCCCATCTTTAGGTTTGCACTATGAAGCAAGTTTTAATTTTATTTCCATGATTTTGATTAGAATGAGCTAATCAGATTAAAATGTTTGCGTATGTTGCTCTGACAAGGACAATTCTCTAGCATAATGAATTGCAACAAAATTAGGTTCTTCTACGAGAAAAATTCTTAAAGCCTGGTTGTTTTCTTTTCACTGAAACTTTGAAAACTTGTTGCAATTTATGTAACTCCCAATTTTGAACTGGAAGAGCATATCTATTTTAATACATCATTTTAAGTGTTTAAAGGACAGGGGAAAGCTCAGTGTTTATGCACTGATGCTAAAGCCCTCAAATCTGATGAAAAAATTCTTATCTACACCCTAAAAGTGCAGCATCAAAACACAGGACCTCTCACACTTGTAACACTCCCAGCCACAAAAATCCTTGCAATAACACACCAAAAAGTCCAATACCACTGATTAAGTCTCAGCATCATTTATCAGAGCTGTCTAGCTGAGGAGGGAAAGATGTTTGGGGTAAGGAAGGAGATGGGAACTGTGCTGATACAAGGATGGGTTGGAAAACCATTTGAGAGGGACTCCATGTCCCTTGGAAAAGGAGGGAAGGGCACTGAAAGGAGGAGAAGAAATAACTCCCACTGCTGAAAGAGGGCAGGAAGAGAAACCAAAACAGACAATCTAGAGGGAGATCTCCAAGGTTTTGCCAGTAAAAATCAGCTGCTGGTTGTTCTGTATCCCTGTAGCAGTAATGAAAATACTACATTTCTTTTAGCAGCCATTTCATGAAATGAACAGCCTCTCCTCTATTTCTTATTCTCTAATGATTCTTCATCTCCTGTAATATTGTTTGAACAATTTTTTATTTTATGAAATAAATTGTGTGTTTTGCATGCAGACATAAGGGGTCTCCTTGTTCAAAAGCTAAAAAAGCACATTCTGCTGCTTGACAACCTCTCTCCTGCCTGGCAGCAAAACAGGCATGTCTGGGAAGCATCATTCCTTTTTTAAGCTTTTCTGTACTCACACAGGATGTCCAAAGTTACAGAGCCAAAGAAATGTGTGCACACAACATGTTGGAGCTATCTCTGGGACCATCTACGTAACAGGTTTGGCACATGGAATCTGTGGCATCTTTGAACCTCCACAGCACACGGAGGTGACATGACTGCTTTTACAACATGATATTTAATCCAGAAGAGACTGTACACTTTTTTTCCCTCTAAGATTGTATTTAATGATGAAGCTTTAACTTTGAGCTTATGTTCTTTCCAGGAACACCTGAAGTTGTTTTAGTGACTTTAACCTGTCTAGTCTCAAATACATTTTTGAAGTTATTAATAATGTGAAAGTTCCTCTATTTTATTAGTTGCAGCTTTTCTGTATATTTTTACAGTCTTAACTATCAACTTCAGAATTTTTACATGTTTCCTGTTAGCAACAGCTATGTCCTAGAAAGTCCTTTCATAATAAATGCATTAATATGAACCAGCTTTCATTCCTGCTTAATAAATTGTTTTGCTCAGGTACAATTTATTTCACTTTTGTTTCTCTGAGATGATGAATTACAAAGGTGAATTTGTGTGCCTTGGCCTTTTTCCAAATTATTAATCAATTCTCTTTCTACAGCAATACAAAAAATGTGAGCTTTCATATTATGCCTAATAAATTAAGCCCTATTTGACAAATAAATCCCTTTTTTTTTTTTTTCCTGACAAGCCCATAGAACATTCATTCCAAACAACATTGGCCCAGACCCAATACTCTTTTCCTGTTCCTGGTAGGAAAAAGACAGTTGAAGGTGACCTCAAATCATGTTTGACTCCACCCTTGATCTGACTGGGGAGAACCCTGCAGCAGTGAATAGTAGAAAGATTACTTTGAAGAGTACAGAGTAACAAGACTCTGTGGACTGCAGGGCCACCACAGCACAGCTGAAATGACACACTGTGTGGCTGTGCCATTTTTATGTGAGCACAGAATCACAGAATCATAGAATCTCCTGGATTGGAATGGATCTTAAAGATCACCCTGTTCCAACCCCCTGCCATGGGCAGGGACACCTTCCACCAGCCCAGGTTGCTCAGAGCTCCATCCAACCTGGCCTTGAAGACTTCCAGGGATGGGGCAGCCACAGCTTCTCTGGGTAACCTGTGCCAGGGCCTCACCACTCTCACAGGGAACAATTTCTTTCTAATATCCCACCTAACCCTGCCCTCTATCAGTGTGAAGCCATTCCCCCCTGTCCTGTCACTCTTGTAAATAGTCTCTCTCCATCTTCCCTGCCAGCTCCCTTCTGGAAGGCTGCAATTATATCACCCCATACCTTCTCTTTTCCAGTTTGAGCAATCCCAGTTCTCTCAGTCTTTCCTCACAGGAGAGGAGCTTCATCCCTCTAATGAACTTGTTAGGTTTGACAGAAGACATAAGACAATGACAATGACTTTGTGTGACCCATTTCACCACACAAACATAGCAAAGTGCTATCCAGAATACAGGGTACCCCTAAGGTACAATATATCCTGCATGAAACCTCTCACCAGACCAATTGGGTGCACAAACATATCTGCATCACTGAAATCTAATTCAGAGCGGGATATCGGCCCTTTAATCTGGTTCTGCCTGGACAAATCCACTCCCCAGATGAAGTCAGCAACATTTGCCACACAGCCATCTGACATCATGTATCCAAACACAACAAACCCATCACACCTACCCTGGAATCAGAGTTCTGTGGGGGTTTGCTTCCCTTTCTGTGGGGTTTTCTCCCAGACCCCGAATATGTTTGTTGTCCCTACAAACTAAGCATTTTAAATTCTCCTTAATACTCACTAAGCCAAAGGAAATTAATTATCCTTACAGCTGTGTGGAGAGCTCACATACAAAAAAAGACAGAGGCAGACAGAACCTAATGAGTTAATAGCCATCATTTCCTACCAGTGGGGCTTCTCCAGTCTCCTCAGGAAATGTCTCTTCTGCGTGATTTACCTGATAACATGTGTGTTTATCTGTATTGGCAGGCTGGAAGGTCACAGTTCAGCTGTACTAACAATGCTGTATGTTTAGGCATTTCAGATCAAGGGTAAATGTCATCTACTACCTCCTTCCAAAGCTTCCTTAAACATCTCTTCTGTTTCTTATCAGCAGGAATTCAACAGCAAAAACTTTCCACTTAGATGCTATTTTACATTTAATAGGATTAGATGTACTTCTCTTGTATATTTTCTGGGTCTTATCAAATGCTTCCAAGTTGTTTATTAAACTTAGAGGAAAATCTAAATAAAGCAAACCTACCAGTTATATTCATAACACTTAATTTAAGACATTATACTTCTTTTCTTCCTGCAGTTCAGAGAGGGGCTTGCCAGCATTCCTACATAAAAGTTCAGAGTCTGGTCATCTCCTGGTGTAACTCACAGGATTACTTTGGAGACTGCCCCTTCAGTTTGTTCTCAAGGAATACAGCAGATTTCATGTTCAATGACCAAATAATTAAATTTTTAAATGCTTGCATGCAGCAGAACCCGAAATCTAGGCTGCACCTGCAGGTCCTGATGCTTCCTCGCCTGCGTGTCTGTAAGCTAAAATGGGAGATGAACTTTTCACCCCTTCCATCTTTTACCCTCACAGAAATACAAGTGTCTCAGTAGACTTTAAATGGAACCCAGAGCAGCAGAGACTTTGCAGTCGAGTAGATCACATACTTAGATGGCATGAAATGACTTCTAGGTTGTCTTTCAAAATACTTCTTTTTCTATCCCGTGACTGCTGCCTGAACTGCACAGGCAGATTTACACATAAAAAATCACCAAACATACTCTAAAATCACCTTTCTGAAAGCTCGAGGGAGCAGGGTACGGTGCATAGCTACTTTTTTTTCCTCTTCCAGAAGCATTAACTGGTCACATGCTGTAGCCCTCTATCTCTCACAGGACT